AAGTGTCTTTAACTTGTTACAAAGCTCCAGCTGCGGCAGCTGTGAGATGTCACAGATTTTTGCTTTAGATCTTTCAACTTGTTTCTTTTTTAATCATTGCATGTATGGTTCTGTTTAGTCTCTGTGCCAGTGTACACAGACTTGTTACATGGGAAAATAAATGGAAATGTTTATTTTTGAAGAGGCAGTCTTAGGCTGTACATTTAAAATTAGTCCTATAGAAACAGCGAAAAACTGCATCCTGATTTGTGAGCTTCAATAAAGAGGCCAAAGGAAGAAAAACACTCCTCTGCAGCCTCTTCAAGACGAGAGCCATGCCAGAATTCTCTCTGTCACGTCCAACTTGGCCTGCAGTGATGTAAGATCGCTCAGACTCTCAACTCAACTCGGACCCAGTTTTCATGAGATGTAAAACCTGGACTTGTCACAAGAAGACCCACTGGAACACACATGCTGGAATTATTTATTTTTGATTGGACTAAATTGAATTTGTGATGGAGGATGAAGGAAATTATTCTATTCTTTATAATAATTCCTGTTATTAACAGGCAGTAGCCAAACGCCGTTCCCCTGTACTGGATCTCCTTCATGTATCACAGAATTCATACCAGATTGAGAGAGAATTCCTTTTAGTCTGGGTATTAGAAAGCCTTTGTTCCAGTTTCTTTGAAGTGTTTTATGTAAACTGCAACAGACAACTGGATTGTCTGCGTTCAGTGTTCTCTTATAACAATATGTGAGTCCAGGAAGGCTTCGTTAAGTGGGCTAGATGGATGGAAACAAATGCACCAATGCAAGGTGGATGTTCTATAATGTTCCCCTGTGCTCATGACTTCAGCTTCACAACTTTACTTCACCTCTTCCTTGGTGCGATAGGATTTCCTACAAACTGAGCAAAAGGCAATCAAAGGGCAGGTTATGAAACACCAGAGACAAGCTGGAGCTGTGTGACGAGATCATCATAAGTGTGGATGTTCTGGTACTTCAGTCGAGGATTTCTTGTGCTGGCTCAGCTTTGAATCAAACCAACACAACTAACTGCATAATGAAATAAAGACCCACATCTTTGTTGGGTTTCAAATATATCAAAACGCTAATCAGATATATTATGGGTGAAATGAAGGTATTAGGCATCAGACCTTCACGCCTGTTGCATCTGGACAGCGTGCTCAGGCACTGAGTCACACTGCAGCCAAACAGAAGGGGCTTTGTTGTGATCGTCTTCATGGTGAAAATACTCTGTGGTATTGGAGATGAGTCGAGTACAGTACATTGGTTTCATCTCCAGATAATGCCGTAATTGTTTCGTTCTTCTTAAGATTAGTCACATCCTTCATGGTCTTCTTCTTTCACTCTTTTTGGGTGTCACATGGCACTCAGAGCTACATGTGGGAAGACATTAAACACACATGGAGGCACCTGGGTCGATCAACCAATTAGGATGTGGGTGATAATCCTGAGACGAATGGAGTTTGTGAAGTTTCAGCTTCGCTGGGCCCCGCGGACCGAGGCCTCCCACCGTCCCATGAGTGTGTGACTCCTTTGTGTCTCATCCATAGTCTTTCCATGGTTTCTCCTGAATTTGAAAACAGAATCACACTGAAGGAATTTGGACCATAGCCGTGGAGGGAAGGCCCCCATGTCCATGCAAACATCTGTGTGAAGACGGATGGTGTTATGGACTCATAACCTCAACAATATTAGCACATGAAAGGTAGAGAGACTACAGGAGGGCTATTTTAACCGCTCATAGGGGCCCCTCTATTAGCCTCCCATTCATTCTCAAACAGACACTCACATGCCGCTGTTACAAACTGCATGTTGGTCACTTTCACAGCCATCGCAGTGACTGACTCTTCAGAGACAATCAGCTGAGTAATTTTGTCATAATTAAGATTAATGTTCTGGCGGGTCACTGGCAGTGTTAAGGCAATTAACAACACTCAGTGCCCCCTTTGCGCAATCAACAGGTAATTTACAAATCATTACTTGGGATTTTTCAGAGTGAGAGTGTGCACTCGTGGAAATGTGTTATGGGTCATCTGATACAAGAACAGCTATGACTCTGCTAATGTCTCCCTTGGGGAGTGTGATTTTGGTGCACATGGTACCCCAGGGCAGTGGCCTGGTCTGGTACAAAAGGGGGGTAAATAACAACAGAAGTGGGGAGCTGTGGTTGAGAGAGAGCAGGAGCTGCGGATACAGCTGTCTCTATATTGTACTGTTTCGGAGTCTAAAGCTGGGTGCCAAGTAATTTGGAAAAATCAAAGATCAATCCCACATGACAGCCAAGTGTCTGCCCCGCAGTAGCTGACCCTGTGCTCTCAGTTAAGTGTTGACGGGGTCAAAACAGAAAATGTTAAGTTTTCCTTTGGGAGATCAAATAAGTGCAAAACTATTCCATTCTCTCTTATTAATAGGCTTCCTAAAAGCTACAAAATAAAAAAGTTAAAGTCCAAGAGTTCAGCAGAACAACACACATCATTTCATGAATATGTTTTTCTTTATGCGTGGATGTAGCAGTTACTATATGGAAGGAAGTTAGTCCAAAGGACCAGCACATTTTCATGGAGCACAAGCAAATACAATCACAAGTTCAGCGGACAACAAAGCACTGAAGAACAACAAATTTGTGTGCACTCACATCTTCATCTTTCCACTTCAAACTATTCAGATCATCTACTCAGTAACTGGCCTGATAGTTTTAATTTCTGAAAAAAATATCATTGTTGAGTTGTAGCATTTCGCTCTTCCGTGGTCAAACCACGTTAACGAGGAAGTGTCTGCGTTTTAACCACCTGATACAATCCACAGGGCAATTACCGTGATCCCTCGACATTGCGGGTAGTGACAAACTACAAGGGCTTCTAAATTGCTGTGTGCAGCTGCCAGCATGCCTGGAGGTACTGCACTAAAGCAAAGTTAATGGTCTTGGAGTAGAGTTAGGAAGTGACATCACACATGTATACATGTACATACTCACTGATAGACACACACACACATTAAAGCTGACCCAAGGTTAATTTTACCACCCTGTAGTTTTTATTACTGGTCTGACCGGGGAGAGAAATGTCCATGGGACCGTTTTGAAGTATCTTTACGTGACCCCTGTTACCTTCTCACGCACACACATATACTAAAATTTCATATTTTCATGTTCAGTTTTTCATGATGAATAACCACTAAGTGGAGTTTCATTGGCTGCACATCTGGGAGCCCTTACAGTTATAGTTGGAGGGAACATGTACTGTAAGTTAAATGAGCACATATGCCCCACTCATCCTCTATTTCTGTGTCATTTCTTGCCTTTCACATGACAAATCTTTATTCGTCTGTCAAGGTGTCACTTTTCTCCTGACATTGCTGTTCAACTCCAGACCCCAACAGAGTTTTGATGAATATGAATTTCATATGTCTTCTCCTGTCTCGAACATTCTTCAGCCGTTGAGTAAGCCAGAATATTTCACAATATTATAAAACAGAGACTTGGATTCACTGAGTTCTTGATTTTAAAAGCTGCTCTCTCTGTTCATTTTCTTTTTCTCCAAGTGGCAGTGAGTCACAGTTCTTCTCTCAGGTGATGAATTTGTGAAAACGTTGAAGTGAACAGATCTGTGGGGTCTTTATTTAGGCTGTGTGCCCAGCGAGCCTCAAGTACCAACATGACGACACTGTGAAAGATCACTTGTGTAAATCTGCCAATTATTTAATCATGTTGTTCTGTTACACTTCAATAAACTTGACTGGCAGAGGCATCAGTGCATTAACATGCCTCATTTACTTTCCACGGCCTCTTGTTAAATGGAGACTTTGTTCTAGAAACTTCTTTATGAATTGAAATGAGCTGTTTTGTTTATCAGACACAATACCTCTTATATGATGAGCTAATTTTACAAGCAATGTGACGTTTTCAGACATTTCTTGCATTGTATTCTTCACATTTACTGGTAAATGTAATATGCACATAAAATATAACTTTTAGTGCACCTCAGGCTTCGTGGCGCCAGTTACACAGCCTGCATGTTTTAACTGGTGGGTGCTGGCAGTGATCCCAAAAATAGGTAAGAACTATTACAAACAACTGCTTTTAATTGGGGGACATATCATATGTATTATGTTGAGCAACCCACAAAGATCAGAGATAATGTAGATAAGTATAATAAAATACTGATAATTGAAGGCAAACGACGATTTTAAGTTTAATATAATTATATATATTCTAAGTGAACACTTTTTTTGAATGATTTATTTAGATTACAAATAGTTAACACTTAAATGAATATTTGCCCTTTGTATGATGACATGTCACATGAGACAAGCTGCCCAATCTTCACATTATAGGGGAAGAAAATACTTGCTACCTGCAGTGGTATCAGTTTAACACAATCAGTTCATACAGTGATTGTATCTGATACATTTCCACTCCAAACTGGCACACCAGAGCTAAATAAGTGGCTAAATCAATGGCTTTATCTCACACAATAGTGCTGCTGACTCTGCTTTTATCCCTCTAAAACCAGACTTCAAAGCTAATCAGTAAACAAAGACAAATTGGTTTTGGACTGGCACTCACGGCCCTTTATCTCTCCCTGATGTTTCAATCAGCCGCCCAGTCTCATCACATAAACTACCGCCCTCCGCCTCACACAATTCCCTTAGAGGGAAGTTAAAAGTTCATCTCTTTTTGCTCTAATGTTTCCTAATGGTGGCTTGTTGAGTTAATAGTTAAATAACAGGCAGGATCATTGTCCTTGCCTTTCATTTGCCGGTGTGAGTAAAGCTGAACATATGTTGACACATCAAAGTCTTTAGATTTACCATCTGATCTTCTGGTAGAGTAAGATTACAGCAGCTGTGTGTTGGCTCTAGGAAAGCATTGCTTTACACTAAATATAAAGACGTAAAGAGCCGCTTAACTGGGCTGTGTGCGTGTGTGCATCAGTGGGTAAAAGGCTCGTAACATGTAAAGCAAAGCACACATTGAAATAGTAAGCATTACATAGAGTTCCTTTTGTTTTATTTTATTGACCAACAGGTTTTACGATAAAACTTTGGTTGTGTGACTCAATTGTGAGAATACAGTTCCTTCATTTAAATGTTTAGATTTAATATAGAAATGCATAAATGAGTACAAAAATAAAGCATTTGTATAATATTAATTGTACATGTGACAAGGAGATTAAAATGAATAGATAAATGGATCTCCAGGCTTTAACAGTTAAATGCAGCGTTCAATTATCAAAACAAACAGAATGCAAACAACATGATTAACATAAAAAAGACAAAAAGACAGATTTTAATGATCAGACTTAGTAAATGTTGTTGTTAAAACATGAATACATCAGATATAAAGTGCATTGCTATCTGCATAACAGTCGTAGGTAGTCACATCTATGTACATCTATTTATTGTCGGTATACTTTCTTTACTGTGGCTCTCGGTATAACTTTGTGATTAACTACTGATGTGGTAACCTATTAAAATTGCAGTATATCATTCTTTGAAATGGACATTCATACTAAAGGTTTATTTCAATCAGAATTGACTGATTTGATAAGGCAGCTAACTGTGATTGGTGAGTGTCACCATTGGCTCTTAACATCTCTTGTTAAGTGACACAGCTTTATGATTCCAGTAAATTTCGACTCATTGGTGCTCAATTAAAACGGGTTTGGGACCCAGATGTTCCGCTTTTCTCTGAGAGTGAAAAAAGCCGTCATGTTGGGTAACAAAGGTTCACAGCCACAGAACAGCTCAGGAAATGCTCCAGCTCTTCCGGCATTCCAATTTCCATCACAAAAACATTGTAATAGCCATTTTTACTAGGATCTTTTATACATCTTACATTCAGTCTGGGACCCATTGAAATAATTCCACAGTGCCAATTAACTTGAAACACGAAATACGACTTGGCAAAGTCAACGGCTCTGCATGTTTTTAGAACAGAAACTTTACACTGTTGTCAATTTTATACAATTTAAATTCAGAGATGATCAAGATCAAACAGATCCCATGTTAAGAATTAGATATAATCTGGATTCTGTTGTTTTAACAGATGACTGGACTCTGATACATGCAAGTGGGATGTTGACTCATGTTTGTTGTGGAGAAAATCCTCCTGCTGACCATCACCTCTCTCCCTTAAACACTTTGACCCCGCGGTCGATCTTTTTCTTAAATGACACAGAGGCTTGAGGGATGGGAAAATCCTTTTTAAAAAGTAGCTCTTTACTGTTGATGTCCATTAACAAAAACGTATCTACATTATAGTTAGAAAAACATACACTCACAGATATAATTGCACTTTGCACTAATAACGTCTATTATCTCTATAAGTTGTGAGGGGGGTGATGGTGAGGACTGCGACAAGGCTGGTGGATTGGTGTACACGATGAAGAGTTGTAGGTTCATTTCACGCAAAAGGCCGCAGCGTGGCAGCCGGCCAGGATAAGTGCTGTTCAACAGATGCATACTTCAAACCCTCAGTGATGGCTCAGGAGGATCTCGGCAGGAGGTTTTAGTTGACCTGTTTGGATTTCTTCATCCTGGAAGAAAAAAAAGCAAATTCAATGTGAGTGTTATAGAACAACAGACAAAATGCCAAAATCATATTTGGTGCAGAGGTTTCACACAGGTGGTTGCTTACTTTTGCAGTACGTTCATTTGCAGCATTTGCAGAGTGATATACACATACCACAGCACGGCCGTGTATTAACAGTGCAAACAACTGAACATGGGTGGGCAGTTTAATTGTTGACATTGGAATATTACTCTCGCTGAGCCACATTTCAACTGATGAAAAAGCCAATCATGCTCTTATTTACCCGACTAAAGAGTAGAATAACACATGACTTACGATCGCGTGCCTTTAGACACATTGTAAATAGGCTTGTCCCTGCAGTGTATGTGTAATTGGAAACACATTAGGTCTGATCACCGTCTACTCTCTTCGTGGGCTGTTTTGTCATGCAGATGACCGTTAACACCTCGACGAGTCAAGGGCTCCACAATCATCCTTGAGACAGACAGTCTGACTGCGGGACTGGGGGCGGGTATTGAGTGTGTATGTCAGAGGCTGGAGCATCAACAACCTCATTGGGTCAGTGATTGCAGGAATCATTTAGTTTTCGTCTTGTGGAAAGGAAATTCCCTTATTGCTTCCCCAAACACGTATCTACCTCCACACCACAGTGCAGAGTTTGCTCAATCCTCAGAAATATATGACTGCACAGAGTTCATGATGGCAACTTGATCCCTTCTATAAACTTTATGGTGCCAGCGTTTTTAAGAAAAGCGTCTCCTTCCTCTGTTTAGCAAAATACTTATTCAAGTGTGGTATAAGTCCACAAACCTGTGGCTTGTGATGATTAGGGATGATCACAGAACAACGTAAGAGAAGATTAAACATGGTTTTAATATATGATGTGTAATATCCCACATCAAAACCCATCTCCACTCCCACTTGGTCATGTACCAGCATTTAGAAGCTGTCACTCCCACAACAATCTATTGATAGATGTCCAAATGCACATTTGCATTTCTTACTTTAAATTTCTATAGAGTGGAAGTGACTTTGTAGAGCTCCTGCAGAGTTCTGAGTTACAGGTTGATATGACAGCAGAACCATGTATTGCAGCACACACAATTCATGAAAACTAGTCCGATTTGTCACCACTTACTTGTGGATGGCATTCTTCAGGTACTGCTTCAGCCACCGGATCTCTGGATTCACACACACCTCTTTGTTTGTCTTCAGCTTGGCACTGATCAGAAAAGGGAAAAGAGTTCAGTATGATGTCATTTATGCCTCAGTTAAAGATGAAAGGGTGAGTTATGCAAACCTGTGACAACAGGTGTCTTGAAATTGTGTTATTAAACAGACTGAATTACCACTGCCTTGTCAGTTTGACACACACAGAGAGCTTTTTCACAGTGGCAACCAATCACTATTTTACTATACATCTGATGCTGCATCAGATATTTCACACTTGATTGAACACACTTAATGTGCCGTAAACGTTTGAGTACATGGAGATCAATCCATCAACATGTGGCTACAAGCTACTTTATAAAATCCAGCATAACCCTGCGGTTATTTACAGAATGGGTCAAGACTGGATCATATGTCTCTATGAGGCAGATCATGCCTCCTTTGGCACACACGTCCTGTTTTTGAGTAACAAAAACTCTTTTCCCTCTTCCAGACCTGCCGATTACCCCCCGACATTTAACTGTTCCTGAAGTTTTCATGTCTATTGAAACCAAATGTGCTGTTCTGCTCCACACTTTAATTTGTAAATTATGAGGCCATAACAGTGAAGGAGATCAGGCCCAAAGGTTGTAAGTGCAGTACAAGGTAACACCTGCTGCGTGAAAATAAAAAACGAACCAAATTACAAAACCCACAATTATTGCTTTCCCGTTGAAAACAAAACTGCTTCCAATTTCCCCCTCCCTTTTACTTTCCACTTCCTGTGGATGCATCTGTGGGTCTGTAGTAAATGCTTTCTGTGCATGTGTGTGAAAGCGAGTGGCAGAGGGGCGTGTGTGTACACATGCATGCACAACTCTTTTCTCTGGCCTGTCGCCTCTCTGAGATTGATGGTGAGAAATGTCCAACAAGGAGGAAACCTGTCTGAATTTTTAAGACCAGGGTGGAAAACTGAAGCAATAATCTGTGTCTGTGTGAGGGCGGGCATTAAAAACAATACTCACATCACTTGGAAGGGGCAGTTTGGCGTGTGAATGAACCTGAGCTCTCGGATGTAGCCTCGTGGGAGGCTGTTGACTGTTGAACGACAGTAGCATCTCTCCACCAGACTTATGGGCTTTGCTGAGAGAGAAGACGATATCAGAGACACATTTAAAGCCATGCATGTTTCAAAGAAAGCAATAAAACACACGATCAGATGACGGTAATGATCTTCTGTGGAAGCTGGGATATTGAAAGATATATTTTGCTGGATATAAATAACATTGAACGTTATCACAACAATTAAAAGAGCTGAAAATGATTCACATGACAATCAAAATTGAAGCATGCATACAGAGCAACACATCTACAGATAAATGTCCATGGAAACAGCCCCTGTAGTGTTCTGTACATCCAGCCATTATCTTTACCCATTCATCTTTAGCAGGGTGGCAGAGAGAAGACGACAATATTGACCAACATTTGATCAAAACTAAACTTTGCCCCCCAGAACACACACAGAGGTAGGAGACATATCAGACCCATAAATACTCTCTTTCAGTCAAACACACGTGTACTGTGTGGTCCTTAAACTTCATGATGGATGAGAGTACTTTCCATTGCAGTTTTCAGGAAATTTTCATGGTTGATTAATGTGGAAAAATAAATAGGACTATGCTTGTTTTTTCGTGAAAATTACATGACAAAACCATAACAGCGTATTTATTTAGTTGGGTAGAAATGCATTCGGAATTCATTAACGACAAGATAACGGTTTTTTCTCCCTGCTAATTTTAAGTCATGAAATGTGTAAATAGAGTTGTGTTTTGATTGTGAATAATTTTTCCCCTTTATTGTGCACCATGAGCGGAACAAAAAAATGGAATGAGATGAAAAACAATAATTATTATTTTCTTGTCAGTAACTAGGCTACTTTTAAAGGGAAACTGGGGAGGTCACAAACAGATGGTGAGAAGCACCGCTATAGATTAAGCTCTATGCTAATTGTTTTTTACACATGATCTCACGGTATTTCCATGATAAAAGGCGAAACACCTTCAAGTTGGGTGACATGATGTCGCCATGTAGACCAGCATCGGCTTTCTCTTATAGCTGCCTCATTTGCGCGTAATTAAATGAAAACAAAGAGCAGAACAAATACACACGTTGATCGGTGATCGGTGATCCGACTGGATACTGCTAGAGAGCCACATGAGCAGCCTGTTGGTGCTTTACGCACACCGGAAAATGTACTTTGCCACTCCAGAACAAGGATGTATTCATTTAACTAACATTTATGGAATGGAGATAATATTTTCATTAAAATCACGAGGCTGACATTAATTTAGGCAACTTTTGCACTTTAATTATAGGCCTATGTAATTGAATTTTGGTATTTTAATTAAATCCGATACTTTGGATGATACTTTGGATCATGATTAACACAAACATAAAAAGGTAATTACATAAGACTACTGGGGTTATTTCTATAGTAAACACTATTATTTTAAGAAAATAACAATAATTGTGGAATGGAAAAGTACTGATTTAAACATTCTTCTTCTGATGCACCGTTTTAGTTATCTAAAAAAGAAACACTCCGTTTAATCCATCCTGGCAAATAATGGTTAAACAATCTCTAATTTGCAGATAATCATCACTTGCAACAACAACAAAAATCGAAATAAACCTGAACTGACAACGAACCAGCAAATATGTTCATACCTTGTGATGGAGGCGCATATATCACCAAGGTGAGCGCAGCCACGACTGCCAACAGCTTCATATCCATTCTGCGATAAAGCCGAGATCTGATCCTGCTCGGAGTAAAGTCCAGAAGAGATGTGACAGACGCGACTGTGCCGGAGTGTTAAATTATCCATCATTGTCAAGCCAGCTCAAAAACATTTTACTTCCGGTGTTGTCTTTCAAAATAAAAGCATTAAGAGGCACACGCTTCATCTTAACAATTATCTTTCAAGTGAGATAATGTGTCACATTAAAACCAAAAAAAAATATTCAAAAAATGAAGTATAGCTATACCATTCACCATTTGTCAACGATTGAGAACTCTGTTTTCACGACGTTTCTTTTAATACTTTTATTTTGTAAAAATGTTTCCGGTTTCATTGGAGAGACGTCAGGAAAATTTGACCCCCAAATTACGCGCAGCGCTCATTAGACATCAAACCATCCCATACACACAGACTCACACACGCACACACACAGAGACACGCACACAAATCACAATATATTGTAATTTAACAGGAGTGTGTTAAGGATTATATTTGGCATGACCAGCAAACTTCAGAAGAACTTAATATATGGTGTTCTTTATTTGTTTATTTATTTTTTAGAAGTTTATTTGCGTCATCTAGCCGAAAACATCACATTTGCCCACCTTGCAAAGAATGCATTTTCTTCAGCTCAAAATGGTCCTTATGACTGTTGCTAAGGCTCCAAAAAGAAACGAGACATTTTTTGTGTGCATGTGTTTGTTTTTAGTCATGGTTTATCTTCTCATGGACTTCATTGGCCCAAATTAATTATAAGCTAAAAGTGTAACTGGAGATGACTTACTCCAGCGTAAAGTGTTCCGTTACATGGTTCTAATAAATACACAAGCGGAATATAGAAACAACACACACACACACACTTACACACACACACACACACACACCTCTCCGCTGTATGGAAAGGACTGAAACTCTTCTCAGCTTAAGTGAATCCATAAACAGTTGCCTTTATACAGCCGACTAAAAATGTTGAATCTGTTTGAGTGCACACATCCTCACTGTTGTGTTTGGTATTAATAGTGTATTTAACGAGATGCAGATGTGAAGTCAGTTTCCAGACTTCTATCTTCCACAGAAAACACTCTGGTGTATGTGTGTTCACGGGTGTAGTATAGAACTTTTGGTGTCTGTGTGTGTGTGTGTGAGTGTGTGCGTGTGTGTGCATGTGTGTGCGTGTATCAGAAGTTTATTCCTAAACTCTCAAATGAAAACGTCAGTGAGCTTTGTTTTTTGCTCTGATCGCACACTCCAAGGCTTTAAGACCTGAAATACTTTTGCTTGTTTAAAACAAATACAAACAACTGAACTAAATGCAACACCACAATATAAATATAATCTGAAATTACTACTCTGCAGATAACAAACGCTTATATTTAGTATATACACAGGCGTGTATACAGAGAGTGGGTTTTGCCACATTTTTTGTGAATCCCAGAGCGACATCAGAATCAGAATCAGAATCAGAATCAGAACCGTTTCTTGTCAATCTATGTTGCACATACAAGGAATTTGTCATGGCGGGTGGTGCATAACATTAAACAACAACATTAAACAATCAACAACAATCAACACAGTGCAAGAAATAGAAACATATTAACATTTACAATAGAATATAGAATAAAGTGCACAGCAAACAGACTCAAAACAGACAGTATTATAAACAAGTATGATGAAGTGTAATGTTAAAAGTATTGAGTGTGTTTAAATAAAGAAACATAGGGATGTCCAGGGGAGTGACCGGTAGGAAATTGTTCTAGGGATGACAGAGTCAGTGGGGGTCCCGGGCTTTGTTAATGAGCCCGACTGCCGACGGGAAGAAACTGTTTGTGTGGCGTGAGGTCTTGGTCCTGATGGACTGCAGCCTCCTGCCAAAATGTGCATAAGTGGTTGGTATTATATTTGCTATTCTTCCTTTTTTCCATTTATTGGAGACAGCTGTGGGAAAGCAAACCACCTGCTGACAGCGCACTTTATCATGAAAATGAGTGTAGAAAAAAGCAGTCCAAGCAGAATAACTGCTTTTTACTCTAAGCTTGTGATTTACTCATATAGGTACAAATCCTCCAGTTTATAGGAGTTATAAGCTCAATATCTGTCTTGTGCTCGACACGGTGCAGACTGTCTGTGTTTTACATCTCAAAACGTTGTTATAGATGATGCCATGGAGACTAGACAGACAGGTGGGGGTGCAGGGAGCAGAATCAGCTGACATCTGAATGAACACATATTGACTTCTCTCACAGGCCACAAAGGCTAACTTCATGTGTGTGTGTGTGTGTGTGTGTGTGTGTGTGTGTGTGTGTGTGTGT